CCAGCTACTCAGGAGGCTGAGGCAGGAGAATCACTTGAACCTGGGAGGCAGAGGTTGCAGTGAGCTGAGATCACACCACTGACTCCAGCCTGGGGGACAGTGCAAGACTCTGTCTCAAAAAAAAAAATAATAGTATAAAATAATAATAATAATAAAATAAAAAAGAAGACAATCTGATTTAAGCTATTAGCATACTTATACAGATATGACTCCAGTTCAGATACCTACCCTGTTCCGATGTGCATTGATTGATGCATAACGAACTGTCCCTCGAAAGCCTGCCACAGCTCGAGGCTACAACAAAGCCATGCAAAGAATAATAAATGAGTTTCAAACAGCAATACACTCAGCACACTTGAACCCATGAAGTAAATGCAAGAAACATGTCTTTTATTGTCACAACAAAATACTATTTAATTTCTAACTTTTAACTATGAAATTACAAGAAACTAGAGAGATTATCTCTAAATCACATCTTTAAAAAAAAAACACTGATAAAATTGTAATTTTCAGTTCCGTTTTTTCCTACCTACATTTTAAAATACAGGGGCATTTATGACATCTATACAACTCTGTATATTAGAAAATATTAAATGCTTTCATATACCCATAATCATGATAAGCATCATAGTATATACATTAATATTCAGGTTCTGGATACAAATAAATATATTTAGATGGTGAGGAATCACTAAATAACCTGAGATACCAAGCTCTTCATACCTTGGCTATTTCATTCAAACTCAGTTCAAAGGTAGTGGTAACTTGTACCCTACCTTCATATGCAATTCATGTATTAAAAATTCAAGTTATTGGGTGCTTAGTATGTGCCACATACTAGAAATAACACCAACATGAAAAATATACGATCCTAGTCCTCAGAGAACTCAACTTAGAATAAAGTCCAGGCTTTTTACTTAGCCTATAAGACTTCATGATCTGGCATTTGTCTCCTTTCACAATGGATTTACCGTGGTTTCTTTTATGACCGATTTTAGTTTTAGCTCAAAACAGTGCACACAATTCTCTCCAGTTGGAATCCCAGCTCCTTGAATCTCTCCAATCTACTCCATTTTAAGGCTTCTGCTCACATATCACCTCCTCAGAGAAACTTCCCTTAATCATTCTAATCTAAAATACTACTCCCCCCATCTGTAGTGCCACTCTATTCTTTTACTCTGCTTTATATCTTTTTAACACCTTTACTACCCCCACATCAATTTTATTTATATTCTTATTCTGTTTATTGCCCATTTGTTTAGATTTTAATTTTTTTTAAGAGATGAGGTCTCACTCTGTAGCCCAGGCTGTAGTGCAGTGGTATAATCATAGTTCACAGCAGCCTCAAATTCCTGGGCTCAAGTGATCCTCCTGCCTCAGCCTCCCAAGTAGCTGGAACTACTGGAGTGTGCCACCACATAGGGTTAATCTATTTTAATTTGTTTACTGGCTGTCTTCTTTTAGTCCATGGAATATAAACTCTGTGTGGGTGAGGTCTTTGTCTTGCTCATTTTACAATTATAGATATAGACTCTGACAGGTATGTAACTTGTCTAAGGACACACAAATCAGTAAATAATAAAACCAGGCATTAACTAAGGTCTTTCAACATTGTCTCCATTCTACCGCTCCCCAAGAATCAAGTAAGTACCCTGAGGATTTGTGGGTGGCACTGTAGCTCAATATGAAAACTGACAAACTTGAAAATGATCATAGACAAACTTTTCATTAGTATAATTTTTTTTTTCTTAAGTAACCTCAAATTTTTCTCAATTAGCATGTATTACTTTTGTAGTCAGAAAAGACAGTAAAAAATCCTGGCCAGGCGCACTGGCTCACATCTGTAATCTCAGCACTTTGGGAGGCTAAAGTGGGCAGATCACAAGGGCAAGAGATCGAGACCATCCTGACCAACATGGTGAAACCCCATCTCTACTAAAAATACAAAATTAGCTGGGCATGGTGGTGCATGCCTGTAATCCCAGCTACTCAAGAGGCTGAGGCAGGATAATCACTTGAACCCGGGAGGTGGAGGTTGCAGTGAGCCGAGATTGTGCTACCGCACTCCACTCTGGGCGACAGAGTGAGACTCTGTCTCAAAAAAAAAAAAAAAAAAAAAAAAAAAAATCCTTACCAGAATAATTTGGTCATATGTTACCACATAGGATAAACAATCTATGTGTTCTTCCTCCATTT